GAGTATGTTGATCTAAGAAACTATTATTTAATTCAAGGATTTTGTCAAAGCTTACTTGCAATTCGTTCATCTTGTTCTTCATTTCATCTATTTGTTTATCATAATCATTCTGATTAACATTCAAAATAAAACTATTGATTGGTTTCTTTAGATTGAAAAAATATTAGTAAGCTATATTCCGGAATTAATCTTATGAACGATGAAAAGATTATTCTTTATGAATATTCAAATTCACGAAAACTACATAGAAGTTAGAATAATTTTATTTTTTCTATTCTGAAAGATTGTCGATTAGAAACCAGTGAAAACATACCTGTACTTGGTGATTCTAATGTTGGATGAGAAACTTTTGTTGGTGGTTCTGTATCTGTTGTAGCTAAAGATCTTTTTCTTGGTGATGAAGTTAAAGATTTTTGTGGACATAATTGAGGTTCAGTTTTCAATAAATGAAATTGATGTAAATCTTGAAGAACGAAGAGCTTTTCAGGAACATCAAATATGGCCCACATAAAATCAACATTAATATCATAATTTGTAGGTTTGAGTGTCGTCATATCATATTCTTGTAAATAAAGTTTTTCAATCTGAACGGCAAAAAAAGATATGTAACCAAACATATCAATATGCAAAATATCAAAATACATCTAGAGTGGACGTAAGGATTCACTTATAAATCCTCTTGGTATCGGACTTAGTATTGAATCTATATCGGTATCGAAAAGCTTCGTCGAGTTTTTTTATGTAGGGTAAATCAAATCAAATATTAAGGATATTTTCAAGGTCTTATAAGCATTTCGGATAATTTCCACTGGGTATTCTAGAAATTCATTCAAGTTCACATATATTTGTAAGACGATCATTTCAGGATTTTTGAATTAAATACAATAAGGGTTATTCCGAATTCGCTTATAAGCCTCCAGCCAATAAAAATAGGGACGAACATATATTGTTTGTTGCTAAGAGTGGCTTGTCTTCTTTGAATTTTTTCTTTGCACTATCTGTTCGTTTCACTTTCATATGAAAGTGAAACGAACAGATAGTTCTAAGAAAACCTTCAAAGAAAAAATACCGCTCTTAGCAACAAACAGTATATGTTCATCCCTATTTTTATTGGCTGGAGGCTTATAAGCGAATTCGGAATAAAGTGTCAAA